CCGGGCTCATAACCTATTGAATGGGATAAATTGAAGATTGATTGAAGACTGAAACATAGGCGGAGACGCCCCTATATACCCCAGAGGTGGCTGGTACCAGCCACCCCAAATATCATGAACTTCAACAGTTTGGTGTTGCGGCCGTTATGCACTTGACGACTATCCTGCACTCGGCTCTCAACATGCAGCCGTTGAACGACAAGCTTGAGGCGTTGGCGGAGAGGAGCAACGAGAAGGAGTTGGGCGAGGCGGAGAACATTGCTATGAAGTGGGCGAGCTGGAACAGGCTGAGGTTGGTTACACCGGTTATTGCTGGTGGGCTGGCGTTGTGGAATCTGGTCTCCTTGTAAAGGGTTGCATAGCCCTTGTTTCTGTGATGGTAGTAGTTTGGCTACTGCGCAACTTACCGTCTTGTCTCTCTTGGTCCAAGGCCTTTGGAATGTAGCATTTAGCAATGAAGCGTACAACTGAACAAATTTCTTCAACCTCGCAGTTTGTGATGTGTCGATGCAATCCGAATGCATCAGTTACAGACCCGACACAGCCCATGCGCTGCTGAATTGCAAGTCGACATATCAGGCCATGATGACTGCTGGCAGCGTCATATGGAAAGTAGTCGGTGCTTAAGCCACCGCTGATATAACCAGCAAGGCTGGTAATGAAGTCAAACACTCATGCAAGCACATGCATCAAGATAACAGTATAGCGATATTATGGATAATCATGTATTCGTAGAAAACTCCCCAGGATCCCTTACAGGGGTCAAAGTCCCAAAAAGTCCAAAAGTCCGACGCTAGATGCTTAACCCCGCCAGCAGATGAAAGCATCATCTATCGCTTGATGGCCTGACCTTTCCACCCACTCCTCTCCGCCAGCCAAGTCTCGAAATCGCACAGCTTGGGTTCTTCCTTCTTCAACTTGCTGATATCAGCGCCATAGCCCTCAGCTGCGAACCAACTGATCATGACGTTCACTTCCGTGACGGCCCACATAAGCGCGGAGCCAAACATACCGTAGGTTGCCGGCACCGCGCTACCGATGACACGCTCAAAGCATCCACTCATCTCGTCCATGGTGAGCTCACTGCCGGCGAGACCCTCGGCGCGGCCGTTCCATTCTTCGTTGTTGACGAACGCGCGTGCGCCGAATAGGCCAATGTCTTCGACAGACACCCACTGAATGGACTTGCCCTGTAGTGTATCGCGGAGTGCTGCCAGGAACACCTTGGTAGGGAAACCAGGTGCAAGGTTGTCCATGAAGGCAACCGGTCGGAGGATGGTCCAGCCCATGTTTTCACCGTTCTTGCCAGCCTTCTCGAGAAGGTGCTGTTCGATCTCATACTTGCTCTGGAAATGCGGGATGGGCGTCTTGTTCTCGAAACTGCGCTGGTTGCCGCCGCGATCGACGCTGGAATACACAAAGTGTGTGACGCCTTCCTTGATCGACTCGTCAATCAGGGCGTTACCCTGTATGACCTCGCTCTCGTGGGTGACATTCTTGCCTAGAGAGACTTGAACAGAGTAAACACCCCAGATCTTCTCCTCTTTGCCAGCCTCTTTGAGTGTGGCCTTGGCTGATGCAAAGAGCGCCGAGGGCTCGTCCAAATTGCCTTGCACCAACTTTACGTCCGGATGACGCTCAACAATCTTCTTCGCAGAACCAGAGTTGGCATCACGGGTGACAGCCAAGAGCGTGTATTCGGCGTGCGAAGGATGCGATGCGAGTTGTTCAAGTACAGCACCACCTTGCTTACCAGTAGCGCCGGTAACAAGAATGGCTTTCGTGGCGGCCATGGCGGGGTTGCTTGTAAGGGTCGAAGGATTGCTTGGCTTCGTAAAGACGTGGGTTACCGCAGCAGGTCGAGCTTGTTTTCAGCCTCAGATTTGAGAATAAGCAGAAAGAACAATCACGACAGAAGAGCAGAGGAAGCAGCGATGATATGCATTCACGTCGACGCGTCGCCCAAAGACTGGCACGACCGGCCCCGCAAGCATCCCAGACCCACCGTTGCTTCTTTTTAGAATGCAGTTCCACTCTTCTACGCTGATCCCAGAGAAGGGTAGCGGAGATTGTGGACCGTACAGCGAATGGCCGGCTCGTCACGATGTTCCACAGCGCTACGGGTCGGTGAAGGACCACACCGACATTGCGGTGATTATGCAGGAGCATCACAGAGATGGCGTTCAACACAGCTGAATGCAAGCCATGAGGGGCTCAAAGTTTGATCACCGGAGATGCAACTGGAATCTGCAAAATTAGACGGATCCGTAGATCATGGTCGGATTATTTACGGCTGGACGATCGACCGGGTAGATGCTGTAGTGCGCTTCAGATCGATCTTACTCGCTACCAGAATCTAGCAGGAAACGGCATACCAACAAGACCGGCGAACGACAATTCGGAAGGTCAGCGACTGCAGATACCCTCGACACGCATATGCAATAAGCATCGCACATTCGTCCTGGTATCAACACAAAATGTCAGACTTAGGCTTCACACCCGCGGAGATACGCTTTGCCACTGCAGCTCTCGCAGCAATTGCTGCTCTCGCGCCCATCGCATACCTTCTCTATCCATCGCAGTCACAAGAATCAAGCGCGCACATCCAGACGTTCAACAAGTTCATAGAGAGCTACTCGACTCTTCGCCCTCAGGCCCTGACAACATACGCCACCCGCGACTTTAGCCATACCTCCCTTCCTGCAGACCTGCACCTACCCACTCGTTCGATTCAGCCGTTCCGCGAACATGCCGAGACGGTCTTCGAGATCTTCAGCGACTTCCAAGTAGTTCCTGAAGATGATGGTCAGGGAGGCAGAGCGGTTCACTTTTCAAAAGAAACGAATACGGTAGTCGCGCACTGCAAGATGGGAGGCAAGGTTAACGGTGATGGTGAATTGGGAACGCAGTTGCTGGAAAGTGGGATCACGGAGTGGTGGACTGAGGGTGTCTTATTTGTGAAGCTGAGCAAGGATGGGAAGCGGGTTGAAGGTGTGAGAGAGTTTATGCACAGCAAAAAGGCGGAGGAGTTGCAAATTCGTTTGGACGGAATCTTGAGCGAGTGATACCGCTGGTCTGGGTATCTCAATTGTAAGATAGTCTTCACCAAACTTCAGGGGATGCAAAAATGCGATTTGCTATCTGAGCTGTACGTGTATGCATAGCGAGCGTTTTCAGATGTTCGTTGGATGCAAAGCGCGACGATCAATGGGAGCACTCATGTCACGTGTTCGCGCGTTCATAACCTCTTGATATCACCAGCACTCGTACACCTGAACGTCAACTCGATATTGGTTTCGAAATGATTCAAAGCCGAGGTGACGCGAGTTGGGAACACAAAAAAGTATCACATCCTTCTGCCAGAATTTCAGACTATGCAAAACGACCGCGTCCGGTCGCGTCCCATGTCCGACTTTCCACCCCACGACAAACCCCTCACCAACTTCAAGCCCCTCAGTCAATCAGATCCGCAAAGGTCTCTCGATAAACCTCCTCTACCCCTCTCATCTCCCAGTTCCGTCCGCGGTGCAACAGCGACGCTCAACAGCCGCACTAGCGCGTCTAGGCAGCGTCATAGACTTCCCTGCGCACTCTAGACCAAATAACGAAATATCATCTGCGGATCACAACAGCCCTCGAAACTCCGGTGGAGAGCCGTGATGATGATTACAGGAAGAAGGAATTAGACAGTCTTCGGGGGGCGTGTGGTGGGCCTGAGATAATGCATTCGCAGTCCGCGATATCGACTTGCGGCTAAGTAGTTTTGATGAATGAAACCTGGTACATGTGGCAGAAAGTTATCTAGGGTGAAGTATGTCGGAGTATCGGGGTGTTGGAAACTGCGAACCAGCGGAAAGGTTCGTGGAAGTGTGAAGGGGTAATGTTTTGTTCTTGCCCTGCCTCTGTTTGATAGTCAGAATTCATCGTTCGCACCTGCAGTCTGCAGAACGACGGGCGGCAAGCGGGCGTATCCAGCGAGCTCAGTCTGGTACGAGAAGAAATCTTTGGTTCATGGGTACACGTCCCGGACTCGAATCGCTAGTCTGCACCAGGAACGGAAAGTACCAGTTTCCTTTATCGGCGCATCTCGTCTCCGAAACCCTCGCTTGTGCTGTGACCTGCACATGCTTCGTGCAACGTCGCTTGCAGTGATCTTCTCTCGACGCTCAGACACCGTGGTAGCGGTTTCAATGAGAGGGGAAGCGAGTTGAATGCCACAGAGATAGCGATGAGCAACATGGAAGCGGCCGCTGTCATGGATCGCTGAGGACCAAACAGTGGCGGGCGCTCCCGCCGAAAGAACGCTTGTACCAGAGAGGCAAGGCGTGTCAATATGCTCAGCCTTGCCCAGCACATGTGCCCTAGAGAGACAGACGACTTCCATGTGTGTCAATGTTCAAGCATTTGGCAGAGAAAATGTCATGCTATGGTTGATAATATCGTATCTCATTCATTGTTCAGTGTTCATGACACATTTCCGAAACGCCGTGCACGCAATACAGTCTGCGGCTATGCCTTTTCATACCCGCGCCTATTCCCAGTCACCAGCTCCGAGATCAATCGGCACGCCCGCCCTCATGTCATCCATGATCTTCTCAATGCTCCATGGCTCGTACTTGTAGCCCTTGGGGTAGTTGGGCTCAAACTTGTCTTCATCCTTCATGTCGATGCCTTGCTTCAGCGACTGCGCACTCTTCTCGTAGTTCTCGTATACGTAAGCCTCAGGGTCGTGAGACCAAACCCACTTGGGTAGTTTGGGAGCAGCGCGGCGAGGATCAAGCTTGACCTTGTCCCAGTCGGTGTCTTGGAGAAGTTCAGCGTTGGAGAAGCCGAGCTTCTGGGCACAGGAGTTGCGGATGAAGCTATCGGGCCACGTTAGCATATGCGTGTAGAGAGATTAATCGAGGTATAATAACTCACCGGAAGCGAATGTGTACGCGAACGGACTGAGGGATGTTCTCCTTGCCACCGACCTGCAGGCAGGACGCTATCGATATGGCGTCCTCGATGGCCTGGGTCGCACCATTGCCGGAAGCTGGTAGGTAGGAGTGTGCCGCATCACCGATCTGAATGACGCGAGCGCCGGGAGAGGTCCAGCTGGGCTGAGGGTTGCGCCAGAGGAGCTCGAAGTTGACGATGGTTTTGGGCGGGGTTGTCTCGACAAGTTGCTTGAAGATTGGGGCCCACTTGACCGTCTCCATACCGGGCATAGTGTCCATGCCGTCCAAAACTTCTTCCTTCTCGATTGTGTTGTTCCACGACTCCTTCTCAGTACCGGTGACGTCGTGGTTCATGATCCAGACCATGACATCCTCGCGAGACAGGGTGAGCGCGTACGTGGATGGACTAT